CTCTGACGATGAGAACAGTTGAGTACGTATCAGCACCATGCTGATTTTACTCAGCTGGTGTTAAGTTGACCACCAGTGTTAACCCCATAACATTTATCTTATTACTTTATTTTATTTTGCCACGGGATCTCACTGTTACCCAGGCTGGCCTGAAACCACTGACCTCAAGGAATCCTGCAGTCTCAGCCTCCCAAAGACCTAAGAGTAGAGACACATGTCATCACACCCACCACATACAATTTCTTGATGCTATCAGTCGGTGGGGTTGATGTTCTGGGTGAGATGGTCCACATTATTACCTCTCATCTAAATGCATATATAACTAGGCTTTTTTAGTGGTTCAGACAGTGGCTTGGGCAGGGGCAGTTCTAGTCCTTTGAGGTTTAGTTCTTGGACTTCAGGTTTTGGAGACATGTGCCAGCTGCAATGTAAAGTCTGATAGGGATCTAACAGTCAGTTTTAGTTTGTGGTGAAGCCAACTATGGCAGGAGGGAGGAACACTGTAAACATTAGTTTAGAGAATTATAGCCAGATACTTGGAGGAAAAAATCTGTGAGAACTGAAAAACTGAGCAAGTCAAAAAGATCTAATCTAATTTCCAGGTAGGTTCCAATAGAAACAAGATTTTTATAAGCCAATAATTTATGTACTGAAATCTCTATATGATCAGACCATAAAACCAAAATCAGTGTCTGAAATCAAGTGAGAACTCAAAAAGAATAAATCACATCTGTATTTTACTACCAAGGAACAAGAGTCCAAAGCTCAGGGTTGAACTCACTGTTGGGTTCTCAGATTACCAAGCAGGAAGGGAGCACGAAATGGTCCCAGAACCCTTGTTACCTAATTGGAATAAGCAGGGAACTGAAGGTGGAGTCCAGTCCTGTTCAAGTCACAGCAAAAACAGGACAGGCAAAATGCACAGGACAAAGTGATCTCATTCATAGAATTGCAATAGGTACAAACTTACTAGGGAGGATCTTCTCAAATAATAGAAAGAGAGCTTAAGGTTTAATAGAGACAGACAACAGAGTCTTCCAGAATTCTAGAGGGAGGAGAAAGACAAATTTCAGCCCAGCAATCATGGACAGGTATAGGTGGGTGTTGTCTCAGAATAGAACAGTCTAGAGTAGAGAGGTCTTTTGTAGTTAGCAGTTTCTCAGGAGAGAGAGAGAGAAAGAGAGAGAGAGGGAGAGAGAGATTAACCATCATGTCAGCTTTAGAGAACTCAAGACTATACTCAAGATCAGCATTGTCTCTATTTTCCAAATAGGTACTTTGATATCATAGTGACAGGGAGTTAAACACAAATACCTAGTGACCAAACAAATGATGTGTTTGCTTACATATCTTACTGGGTAGATCTCATCACTCACTATATTGGTACTTGACCTTTTCTATCTCCCAACTTCTCACTGGACTTTTACTTAAAACTCTGGTCTTAAAATCCTTTTAGTTAAGGAGGCAATAAATTCTAATTTGAATTGCCTATGTCAGAAAGTTTTTCTATTTTTTATTTCTTTTTTCAGAAATTTTTATCTACATGTGAGGCCTAGCTTTGGGAAACAGAAACTATTACATTGTAAAAGCATCACCTGTCTGATGCTTGAAAATACAAAATTTGGTTAGAAAAACTATGATTAATCCTATGTTTTTAAAAATTTGTTTATTTATCTATTTTAGAGACAGGGTCCTGTTATGTAGTTCAGACTGACCTTGAACTTGCTATGTAGCCCAGCTCTGCCTCCTGTATGCTGGGGATTACAGGCATGTGCCACCAGAACCGATTTTCTAATTTTTAAGACTGACTTAGACTTTGTAAACAAGAGTTAGGAACTGGGTGGAAATTACTAGTAAGATGTCAGCAATTTGGATTAATTAGCAAGTTGATAATTTATATTTAATGGAAATTCTGAATTAGAGAATACAGTATTTAAAAGAAACTCACTTTATTACTTTCTGCCACATTCTGTAACTGAAATTCACTAAGGGAACCTGCCTAGAAGATCATCTTAGGAGACCTACTTTAATAAGAATTACTTATAATTAGCATAATAATTTCATATGCAAATGATACTTCTAAAGTACTTTAAATTTATTCTTAAGTACTTTATACATTCCCATTTGCCTTCTTATTTACACCTTTAATACGAGCTTTCAATGAAGAATGACTTCACTAATAAAGTGTCAACTTCAAGCCAGTTCTACAAACTCTGAAATAGCTAATTCAAATCGATGAGATTTTTCACTTTACATACGTTAAACAGTACTATATATAACAAAAATACTGATTCCTAGTGATATAGTAGTGTACTAAAACTCTACTCATATTTAAATTTTGTAGCATTTACATATACTTGATTTATTATAGGCTGGAAAAGAAACTAAGTTATTGCAAGTAATTGCATGTGAAAGCCTTTAAAATTCATACTGTAATTGCCTGTATTATACACTGAATATCTTTATCTGAAACTTTTAAAGGAATAGCACTTTTGAAGACTATTTTCAGAAAATACCTCTTTAGTGCCCCAAATCTTTGTTCATATGTAGAATCAGTAGGAGAAAACTGTAACCAACAGCATGCTACTAGGCCTTTAAAACAAATATAAACTAAAAATTAAAAAAATACATATTTTTTCTCAACTTTGCATCAAAAGGGTAAAAGAATATGCAAAATAGTTTCTACTTATAGCTACCTGGGACACTGTATCTTTAATTTAACTCTGGGAGAGAAAACTTTGGGCTGCTTTGAATTTTTAACATTTTTTCCCATTTGGCAAGCAGCATGGGCCACAGTTTTAAAATCTGATTCTTTCTCTATCTACCTTTTGCAGTTCCAGCTTCTCCCATTTATCTCTAGGGACTTGCAGGCTGTGTTTATGTTATGCCAAAGAGCTGAAGCAAAAGCGAAATTCCAATTCATCACCCAGATGTTTCCAAACTCCATGCAACCATATTTGGAATTGTATATATAAAATATCCTGATAATTTATTAATTTTTTTCCCCACCTGGGTGTTTTGGCTTTGGATAAGTTTCTGTGTCACAGTTTCTAGGAATTTCACTTTATGGCCTAGAATAGGGGTTCTTTGCTAATCAGTCTGCTTTAATCTTAAAGAACAGCCAGGTTGGTGGGGCGGGATGTGGGGAGACAGTTCCCAAATGCCTCGTCAGTGTGACATGGGCACTTTCTCAGAAGCGTGAGGCCCCATGACTGTAAGTTACTGCTCCCCAGTAGACAGTGCCCAAAAAGAGACAAAGCTAATTTGCCTTTTGTCACCTTAAGAACAAAGAAACAAAATGTGTATGTGTATTTATGTATCTAATATGTGGATATATAATGTATATATCAACTTTTTGTCAAGATAAAACAGTTTCAAAGATAGCCATAAAGAAAGTTATAACAATTGAACAGGTAGAGAGATTCTCTGACCTAGAAGGTCTTTTTTGTTTGTTTGTTTGTTTGTTTTGAAGGTCTTAGATAAAACTTCAGCCTGTTACCTTCCTTCACAGGTGAGGAAATCCTGGTTAAGACAGGTGAGGTGGGCCCAGGAGGCCAATCAGAAGACCAACTCACACTGGACTCGAGATCTAAAGTTGTGGACTGAGTGTCTAACACAAGGGTTCCATTTCTTTATGCTGCTGCTGGGAAAACCTATTAGGAAAAGTTAGGTTTTTATTACTTTATATGTCAAATTATGTTAGGATAATTCTCTTACTGAAATTGGCTTAGAAAGTTTTCATTTTGTTTAAATTATACAAAAACTGGCATTTTCTCCCTGCATCCAGTCATGCCTCCAAATCAGCACATGTAATACACACTGGTGGCATGTGGAAGCTAATGTGAATGAGCATAGACTCTCATCGTAGGTTGCCTCTGGTGCTAAATGAGCAGACAAATCAGGCTCAAAGAATGGATGAGGGTGATCCAGATGTGTCTAAAGCACTGCACTATGCCTGGAATACAGCAAAGATTCAATAAGCGATTTCCAAGATGTTTATTAGGACCCCAAAGTTCCATATGGAAAGGAAGGTAATGTTTCCAGGAAGGGCTAGATGGAGACCCAGCATGGGCTATCAGTCTTTCGCAGGGAAAAACTGCACAGTGACACAGTGACTTGTGATAATGCAATTGCATCACACAGATTGGCTGAACAATATGTCATATCCAGTGGAAGTCAGCTGGTGAGTCAGAGGAGAAACTGCTGTGGTTTTACAAAACCCCACTAAGATGTAAATTCCACTAGGATAATGAAATGGGTTTTATAATGCGAAGAAAGGAGGAGATGGGGAGAAAAGGAACAGGGGAGGGGACTTTCATAATCAGAGCTAATATTCACTAGCTCCTTCATGGTTTGTGAGGGGTTTAAAAAAAAAAAAAAAACTGGGTGTGATGGAGTGTACCTAATTCCAGCTAACTAGGAAGCTGAGGCAGAAGGATTGTTTGAGCCCAGAACTTTTAGACCAGTTTGAATAACACAGTGAAGCCTCATCTAAGGAGCAAATAAGTTAAATAAAATGAGACCAAAGACCAACCAACCAAATAAAAAAGTCCTCCTTCAAAAACACAAATTCAAAGCAAACAAAACAAAACACAAACAAAAATCCTCTCCAGACCTAAAAACCAACACAGCAAGCAACTTAATCTAAGCAATTTCCTGAAACTCTTTTGTTCAGGAATGCAAATATATTTACCATCACTGACAATGGCTTTGGTTGGAATCCAGAGAGCCCATGGCAGATTCACCTAATCATTGACCCCTAAGCTTGTTTACAATGTATTTCATCATGTCTTTCTGGACAACATAATGATAAATTATTTTATTTAAGAAAATTAAAAAGTTGAAGTCTTGGACTAGGGTTGTAGCTCCAAGGTAGAGTGATTGGCATGTGCAAGGCCCTGAGTTTAGTCCTCAGCATTCCACACACACACACACACACACACACACACACACACACACACAAATAATACTAATACTACTAATAATAAAAGAATCTCCCTTCCAGGTGAATTGATTAAGGTCATTCAGGATTCAGGGCTGAAGGTACTTTGTTAAAAGGTTTCATTCATCATATAAGGTTATATGGCAGACACACTCAACATTTGGGAGGAATACATCTTGAGAACATAGAAAGCATACTTTCAGTTAAAAATAGTAGCCCAATATCAAGTGAAAAAATGTAAGGGACTTCCTTACATTTGTAGTAAAAATTGTAGTATTTGTATAAGACAAGTTGTAAAGGGAAAATACAGTGATGTTAAGACATTCATCCATGAATCAAGTGATAAACTCTTAAATCCTACCTTTGCCGTGCACAAAATTAAAATTTTCATCCGGGTATTTCACTTCTTGTGTGTGAAAAGTCACCAGTAACTTGGAACCTTTCTTTCCGCAGTTCTCTGTGAGGTGACCTGTTCAAAGCAGAGTTGGGCATCTGCTTTGGTCTCACAAGGACACTACCAGGGTGTCTGTCTGGTAGGGCTGGGTCTCATTTGGAGGCTGGGATAGGGAAGGACTTGTTTTCTTGCTCAGGAGGTTTCTGGTGGCTTCCATTCCTTGTGATTACAAAATTGAAAGCTTCTTATTCCTTTGGCTGGCTCTTTGCTGTGGGTACCATCAACTCCTGTAGGCTGCCATCTTGCCATGTGGGCCTTGTAAGGCACTGTGCTTACTACAGCCAGAAAAAGGAGAAAGACAATACAGCTAGACTGCATTACAAACGTATGCAACTATAACCTGAAATACCCAACATGTCACCTCTGCTAATCCCATTGGCTGGAGGGAAGGCACACACCTAAACATGCTGAAGGGGTAAAGACTGCACAAAGGGGTGTCTACCAGGGTGTGGGAATGATGGGGGCCACCTCTGCCAGTGAGAAGTGACAAAAATATGGTACCTTGTTTTGTCTCTTAAATGGTAACAATTGTCAATATCAGTTCTATAAAAACTGAAGGCCTGTTATAGTTACCTAACTCTGAGAGTTTCTATGCTATGGAGTCAATCAACAAAATTTTTTGTACACCTACTAAATGTCAGGCCAGCTCACCATTTGTGGGCATGCCCTTGGTAATCAAACTTGCTTAGTCTTTTTCCAGGTACTGTAGCAAAGGAAGATATTTCTGCAAGACTTTCATAGCCCTGCTCTTCCCTCCTTTATCACAAGATGAGGAAAGGGTCCAAAGGGTGAGGATGTTCCTTTTATTAAATTTTTTTTTTATTATTTTGTAGGTTTTATTTTAAAGAGAATAAGACCAAGCAAAATAAAACAGAATAAATCCAATCAAAACAAAACAGTGTGACACAGGACTTCAAAAATAAGATAGTAAATCCCAAATGGCTACCATATCTTGTTATCTTTGAAATAACTGCCCATGCCATGCTAATAAAATCAAACAAGACAAAACAGAATAAAACCAAATGAAACAATGAAAATACAGGAATGGGGAGACCTTGACTCTTTTTGTCTCTCAGTCTGTATGCCGGAAGGGGCTGGTGCTTGGTTCTGCTCCCAGCAGCCTGCACACACTTGGTGACAACTCACAGGAGGGCTTGGCTTCTTGTCTCCTTATTCTCCTCCCCTACAGTCTGTAAATGGTCCCGACTCACAGGAAAGGCTGGAGTCTAGTTCTCTCCACAGTAGGCCATGAATGGCACTGACTCCCGATATTCCTTTAGATTAGTGCGTCTCTCACTGATGTTGTGAGACTTGACATTAGTAAGCAAAAGCAGCAGCTTTGGAACTCAGTTTTCTCACAATGTATTCCAGTCCCTGACTGAGAATGTACAAATTGGAATAGTGGATTATCTCATACAGAAAGAGATCAGAGACAGGAGGATAACCTATAGAAATCCATGGGAGATTGAAGCAGGCAGATCCAGTTTGTGATACGATGTTCTTTGCTCGAGACCTGTTAATAAGAAGCTGAACTTGGCCCACATGACATTTAGATACTCAGGCGTGAGAAAGAGTTGTTTATTCTAATTTTCCCAGATGCCTATAGATGCATACATTCACCCCTTCCCTGCTCCAACAATAACAGTCATAGTTATAGTTTTACCCTAGATGGTTCTGGAACATTCTTCAGGAAGAGAGGAAAACTCAGCCTGGTGTGAGGTATTTTAATGTCCTCTCAGGATAGTTCAGATTTCTTGGGAGAAACTCTCAAAACTTGGGTAAATTGTTTATATTCACTTCTTGCCCTATGCCTTTGAGCACAGTACTTGCTATCATGTTAGCATGCTGCAAATTTGTGGGTAGCACCACCAAAACATATGAAGGGAGGGTCTTCCTATCTCAGCACTGAGGATTTATGTAGGCAATCATATTAGTATTAATGGGTGTTAGACAAGTAAAACCCAGCCCTTCAACATGATAATACATAATACACCCCTTAATTTTTAATTCACTTGGGTCTCAATTTTAAAGCATTTTCTTGTAGTTTGTCCTAATTATAATCATTTTTAATGACAGCTTAAAATTTTCATCCAACTGTCTTATCACATACGGTACTTAATTTCTCAAGTGAACAGTTTTACTGTACACCATTCTGGGAATTTTAAGAAGTAAAACATAAAAGGAGAGAAAGTCCTTTGTATGGTGAAACTAGATGTTAATTGTTCTAATATACATAAAGAGACCAAAGCAGTTTCTGGAAGCTGGGGCTAGCCTTCCTGCAGAGACTTCTCAAACCCCTTTCCAGGGAGATTCATAAAACCCAGGGGAAAGGAGAAGAAAAGAATATTTCCAGTTTTGTTGGGTCCTGCCAAAAATCAGAACTGAGTCTGAATATTCATTGTTGTATTCTACATGTTGAATAGATGAGTCTTGTTTGCTCAGACAAATATAGTGACTACTCAGCTCCAGAAACTAATGGGCTGCCTACTCTGGCCAGGCCACCCTTGAACCCATTCATTTCCTAGATTGTTTAAAGCTCTATGAATTTTATAACAATTGTACACAATTTCTTTTATTTATTGTTTATTTGTGTGTGTGTGGAAAGGAAAGAAACAAAAATACTGCAATTCCACAAAGCAGAGACACTGCCAAGTCACCACGGCTCCTGGCACAGGGGTCACACCAATCTTCTTTTTTCATCAAAATATAATAATTGCACATATTTATGGAGTACAGTGTGATTATTTGATATATGTATATGATGGATAATGATCAACTCAAAGTCATTAGCATTGCCCTGTCTTTGGACATTTATCACTTGTTTCTGTCGGAAAGCATCAAACTTCTCTTTTCTAGTTCTTTCTAGAATATTCAGGAAGTTGTTGTGAACTGTAGTCACCCTACGGGGCTCACAACTTTCAGTCAGTTAGGGAGGGCGTGGCAGAAGCAATGCTCTTGCTAGGACATATGGTCAAGTAGTGTGCTAAATTAACTGCTAAGGTGGGAGCAGATTTTGTCTTTTCTACTTTTTAAAAAGAACTGTTCTGGGAACTCCTGAGTTTTGTTATGCCTTGGTCACTTATTATTTTTGGAGGAGGTGGGAGTCTCCAAGAATACACAGTGGGCAAGCCAAAGCAGTCTATATTTTGCTTTTTCTGGTCCAAATTCCATTTAGCTTTATTTACCTTCAATGCACTTGGTTCACTCCACAGAGGGCACTAATGCACATAAGAAAGTGTACCTTAGCTTACTGAGGTTAACTATGAGGACATACTGGAAACAACAAAGGAGAAATTGGAAAGTAGAGACATTTACCTTATCCAAAGTGTGCTGTAGAACCAACCACATTCCACACAATCTGTGAGGCAGGAGCTCATAAACTATAGTGTATATTATAGTCAGCTGGGCATACAGGGCTGGGGTGGATGCTTCCCAAGAATGTGCATCTGACATAACATTTCCAAATATCTAGATCCAGTCACACTTATGGGGTAGTTTTCAATAAGAACCTGGTAAGATTCCAGAGTAAAATCTGAAGAGATCTAGTTTCTTTGGTAGAACTTGGATTGGTTCATAGAAACCAAATCAAAGATCAAAGAAAAGAATAAAACAAACCCTAGTAGCAATGCATTTTCCCTCAAGTAAATGCTTCTCTGTCTTCATGAGCAAGCAATTTGTCCTATAATAGAAACAAACTTAGTAATAGAATTTTTACATATACACAAATGTTTCCTACGCACATACAAGCATGTTAAGACTTCTGTGTAAACCGCTTGCTAGTGAATATTAGTATGATCTCTCAACAGGAGCTTGCTATTGAAAGCAAAGTTTGAAGCAAAATCTGCCTGAGATTTGACCCTCAACAGTTTGGGTATAGCCAGATCTCATGTAACTACTGGGTTAAAGCAGCCCTTTCCTCTCCCCCCACGTTACTCCTGCGGGCTTCTGTTCCAGATGGCAGAGAAGCACAAACGCTATTTCCGTGAGTGTGCGGTCTGTCTTCACTTCCTTTTGGGAAAGTCCCAGGTTTTTCTGGGTGGCATGTGTAGGGCTCACATTTGGCCATGTGTGTGGGTGCTATACACTGTCCGCCCAGACATTAACTGGTATTCTCCCAGAAGCCTCTAGGGTTTGCAGTGTAACAATTTGAGCCCATTTGTCCAAATAAGTTTACTCCAATCCTGTGCCAGATGGAACGAAGGATGCAGGCACAAACATTTTTTTTTCTTCTCTCTTTCTCTTTCTCTCTCTGGATGCGTCGCTACCATCTCTGTGAGCGTGCAGTCTGTTTTGACTTCTTTGTGAGAAAGGAGCAGGTTTTCTTAAGTGTTATGTGTAGGGCCAATGTCAAGACCAACACTGCTGCTCTCTGAGGCCAAAGATCAGCCTTATGAGTGCACCAGCCACTTCCCAAATGCGCATGGCATGGGGTAGGGCTGAGGTTTGGTGACAGAGTGTAAGTTATTTCTTTTTTTGGCCGAGCTCACCTGGGGAATAAAGTCTAAAAATCAAAGGCCACCTGTGGCTGAGCTCATGGCCACCCAGGCAGTGGCCCTGTAAGTCCATTTCTCTTTTTTCTCTTTTCCAGCCTGATACCCTAAGGCATTCCAGAGCCCTCCAAGTGGAGGAGAAACTGTGTCCACTGTAAATACTGGGGGGTAAAAATCACCGCCAAATTAGTAGCTTCTAAATATCATTTTCAATAAAAATTTCATGATAAAAAGCATATTAATACCAATGGTTAGTGGTTTTATGATGGTGTTAAACCATTTGTGCGGAGGCTCCACAGTGGATGCTGTTTCCTCACTGGAGAGAGAAATTGGCTGCGAGTGCTAGGTTTGTGCGCTTTCACTGTTGCTATAAAATCAGCCCCCAGGAGAATTTTAAGTCTTCTTGAATTGCTTTTTAGCACAGTCTAAGGAAGTAAAAGTTCTAAAACTGCCTGGTCACAGACAAATCACTTAAAAAGCCAGCTTTGTACTGGCAAAGTCAGGCTATAGGAAGTGTTTCAAAAGAGAATATAACAATGCAAAAGCTAAGTATTGCTATTTATTTAACAAATGAAGGCAGGCTGTCATTGGAAACTAAGAGCCTCCAGGAACTCTTTAAGGTCATGTGAAATGCCAGATCCTTGCTGAAACAGACGTCCTGCTATATCGGGCGGTAGTGTTTACACAAGGATGTTGTGGCTGGTGAGCTTGTTTATCAACAGATGCATAGGCACAGATTCTTTATTCAATAACAGCTCACCAATCCATTGCAAGTTGGTTCAAAA